AGAGAGAGAGAGAGAGAGAGAGAGAGAGAGAGAGAGAGAGAGAGAGAGAAGGGGTCGAACTCGAGGGTGTGGGAGCCTGACGAACCTGGGAAAGAGAGAGGGGAGGGAGCGAGCAAGAGAGAAACAGAGAGAGAGACAGAGAGAGAAAGTTCGACTTCTGTCACCTCTACGCTGTCATTGCAGACTGCGCGGCGCCTCACGCTCTGAGTACGCGGTTAATTACTTACCGGCGATGCGATCTGAAATGAGCCGGTCGGAATGAGCGAGTCGCCTACTCTCCGGAATTAATCTCGATTACATTGAACACGATGGACAAGGAGGAGATAGAACAAGTGGACGGGGTGGACGATGTTGCGCAAAACGTTTGTAAAACGCTCACGGTTGAATCTCTGTGTGTAATCACTCGGTGCGTGTCGCGAGTGGATAAATGGGAAAGGAATGAAAGGATATTTTCATTGGACTTTACAAACTCTTTTGCATTCCCCGTTTTACGGTGCTTTGTCCTCTGTCTGTTAAATAACGAGACGTTCTTTTTTTGTTTCAGAGCGATCCCAGCACTGCGTTTCTGCGAGCAGCTCGCGCTGGGCAACTCGAGAAAGTCTTGGAGTACTTGGAGTCTGGAGTGGACATCAACTCTTCTAATGTTGTGAGTGGCCGACTTGTTTACTCTTTCCTTCTGAATTAAGGATAATACATAAAACCCAAGAAGTAACAATCCAAATTTCACTAATAATAAGGCTTGTTTTAGTAGCATTATCTAATGCTTGATATCTGGCTTTCAAGTTAGTGCTATGTCCTTCATGAATTGGAACTGAATGAACATTCTACTTCACTTCTTTAGCCTGTTTTCAGCTCGTCAGAGTTTCAGATCGTTTTTCTTTCTGAAGATGTTACGTAAGATAAAAGTACCAATGCTCGAACATTTTTGTTTTTTTTTTTTTTTGGTTTTTTGGTCTTTAAATACAGATATAAAAACTTTCAACATAAAATACACATACACATACTGAATATGTGCATGTATTTTATGTTGAAAATTTGAATATTCGTATCTAAAGATCAAACCAATAAGAATGCCCAGAATTGGGTACGTATTCAGGAATTTGTACTTTTACCTTTTATTTCCTTTTATTTATTTACCTTTTATTAAACTGTTCAATATGAATTCCGATCGGAATAATTCCGTTTTCCCTAGAAAACGCGATAGAAATGTAGGGAATAATGCCACGATTCTAATCGAAATTCATATTACGAACAGTTCCATAATACGTATCCTGAAATGTTCACAACACGTCGGAAACAAATCCACGAAGGACGCGGCACCAAGCCGAAAGGCAAATTAAGCATTTCCCTACACCGTGTGGAAGCATAAAATATCAATGTTCTTCATAGAACGTATCGGGTAAACTGTTTGTGTCTCTTGCAGAATGGCTTAAACGCTTTGCACCTGGCAGCTAAAGACGGTCACTTGGAAATCGTGAAGGAGCTCATAAATCGCGGCGCAATCGTAGACGCCGCTACCAAAAAAGGAAACACGGCATTGCACATAGCTTCTCTTGGTGAGTGATTCGACTGGACGTACTCTGAACGTGATTCGTCCTCTTCTCATCCGTGTCCATTCTTGCGTGCGGGTGTGTGCGCGGCTCATGAAATGTATAGGGGACAAGGACGCGAATGTGATTTTAAACAAACATTTATTTCCATAAAACTCGTGAGCTCTTAAGATTCTCGCCGTAAACTTTGTGTCTCGGGGACGTCTCTTTTTCTCTCTCTCTTTCCCTACTAATGACGATAAAAATTCGCTTGACACCGATATCTCCCGTTTCTTCTTTCCCAGCTGGACAAGAGGAGGTTGTACAATTGTTGGTGCAACGAGAGGCCTCCGTGAATGCACAATCGCAAAATGGATTCACGCCGCTGTACATGGCTGCTCAGGAAAACCACGATTCTGTGGTCAAGTACCTCCTCAGCAAGGGTGCGAATCAGACATTGGCCACCGAGGTTTGTACCGACCATTGTTCTTGTAATTCTTCCCTAGGACTTTGCTCATAACTGCTAAAAAATCTTGTAACATTTTTTTATATACTCTTTGATAGTTCGTTTAATATTTCTTATTGTTAATTTGGCGATTTATTATTCACATTCAGTACCGGTTTCGCACCGGCGCTCCAATGCTCGTCCCACACTCACGTTTCTTTTTTGTGCAGGACGGTTTCACTCCGTTGGCGGTGGCCATGCAACAGGGTCACGACAAAGTAGTAGCCGTTCTTCTAGAAAACGACACTCGTGGTAAAGTTCGACTGCCCGCCCTACACATCGCCGCGAAGAAAGACGACTGCAAGGCGGCCGCCCTACTTTTGCAAGTGAGTAGTAACACGCGTTGTCAATCGCGCGACGACCGTATTTTAGACGTTGAAGAAGCGCGCGGTAGCAATAAGAGGAGAAAATTAGTCCACGGCGTACCATTGCTGCTACAATTCCTCGAATTTCTCGCTGCCATTACAGAACGACCATAATCCCGACATAACATCGAAGAGCGGTTTCACGCCGCTTCACATAGCGGCGCATTATGGCAACGACCGAATCGCCTCCTTGCTTTACGACAGAGGCGCGGATATTAATTTTGCGGCGAAGGTGGGTGACTTTTCTTTTTCAACAGATAAACTTGAAATATCACACGCTGAGAGTTCATGTTTACCATCATAATTGTGTATTCGTTACTTTGTGAGAAATATCGCGACTCAGTGCAAAAGTAAAATTATGTCACAACCTAACTTCGCGTCACTCAAGATTGCTAGATTTTTATCATCATGACTTTAAATGTGCTGATAAAATTTTCCATATATAGAATACTGGAAATTCTAACATTGGGATATTTGACATTAATGGTAATTCTAGACATTAGAAATTTTAAAATACTTAAATATATGTTGAGGAGTATTTTTAATATTATAGATAAGAATATTTTTTTACTTTGGAGAGCTTTGTCATTATAATATATATAATTGTAGCACAATATCACACCGATACACGTGGCGGCGAAGTGGGGCAAGATCAAGATGGTGAATCTCCTCATGGGCAAGGGGGCGAACATCGAAGCAAAAACGAGAGATGGTCTGACCCCTCTGCACTGCGCAGCGAGGTCCGGCCACCACGAAGTAGTTGACATACTCATCGAGAAGGGAGCACCAATCGGCTCGAAGACGAAGGTAATGCACAAAGCAACAGATTTGTCCAACGCGCGTTCGCGGGCGCCGCAGAATCTCGTCGAGATCGTCGTTCAACCACACTCGGTTTCCGTTGACAGAATGGTCTTGCGCCGTTGCACATGGCTTCTCAAGGGGATCACGTCGACGCCGCGAGGATCTTGTTGTACCACCGCGCTCCCGTCGACGAGGTGACGGTGGACTACCTGACCGCGTTACATGTAGCCGCACACTGCGGCCACGTGCGAGTAGCCAAGCTACTACTGGACAGAAATGCCGATCCCAACGCGCGAGCGCTCAACGGATTTACCCCCCTTCATATCGCGTGCAAGAAGAACAGGATAAAGGTGGTGGAACTCCTCCTAAAGCACAAAGCTAGCATCGAAGCTATGACTGAGGTATGAGCTCGTCGAGTTTCTCTTTTCTTTTATATCGAAACACATCTACGATTATGTTCGTTAACAATGTGTTATATCCTGTTCTTCGCAGTCTGGACTAACTCCACTGCACGTGGCGAGTTTCATGGGATGCATGAACATCGTAATTTACTTACTGCAACACGAAGCTAGCCCCGACATACCGACAGTAAGAGGCGAAACGCCATTACATTTAGCTGCCAGAGCGAACCAAACTGATATTATTAGGATACTTCTTAGGAACGGCGCCCAAGTTGATGCACGAGCAAGAGTGAGTGTTGTGCTCTTCGTCGAAAGTTAAATTATTCGTGATAAATAACTTAAATGATAAATATCTGATATATTTGATGACGATTTGAAACACAAATTGTTCGCAGGAGGAACAGACACCGCTTCATGTCGCTTCCCGCTTGGGTAACGTCGATATCGTGATGTTACTGCTGCAACATGGTGCAGGAGTAGACGCTACAACGAAGGATTTATATACTCCGCTTCATATCGCTGCTAAGGAGGGCCAAGAGGAGGTAAAGTTATAATATATCGCGCGTAACCTGTGTGTAGACACATTTTTACAGTGCCCCTTTTTTACACGCAGGTTGCATCCGTATTATTAGAAAACAGCGCGTCGCTTACTGCAACGACCAAGAAAGGATTCACTCCCTTACATTTAGCGGCTAAGTACGGTAACATGAACGTAGCACGATTATTGTTACAGAAGAACGCACCCGTTGACGCTCAAGGGAAAGTAAATATTCCTTTTCTCCTCTAAATGTGACCTTTGCAAGATGTAATGTGAATTGGAGCATGTTTATACAAATGTTTCTTCTTATTTGTCAAACATAGAACGGGGTGACGCCTCTTCACGTGGCGTCTCATTATGATCATCAGAACGTGGCTTTACTTTTACTCGACAAAGGAGCTTCACCTCACGCCATGGCTAAAAATGGACACACACCATTGCATATTGCCGCACGTAAGAATCAGGTATGATCTTGAAGACTTGAATTTTTGATAGTGAATTTCTCAGTAGCGGCTGAAAAAGGATAATATTATTTTTATTTGTGATAGATGGACATCGCAACTACCTTGTTAGAGTACGGAGCGAAAGCCAATGCGGAATCAAGGGCTGGTTTTACGCCGTTACATTTGAGTGCACAAGAAGGTCATACTGATATGTCAACTCTTCTTATCGAGCATAAGGCTGACACAAATCACAAAGCAAAGGTGAGTAAAAGAGAAGAGAGCAATAAGATCTTTTGCAATCTATTGCTATGCTTTATATCGCAAATTCTTTACAGAACGGCCTTACGCCTTTGCATCTATGCGCACAAGAAGATAAAGTGAATGTCGCCACCATTCTTGTGAAGAATGGTGCTCAAATCGATGCTAAGACCAAGGTAATACAATAATTTGTTAATTTCTCTTCGACTGTATGCAATCGTGCATAGTTAGAAACACGTATCGTGATTGTGGCAATGTCAACGACTGTCGCATCTTCACTTACTGTGTTAGCGCTCTGTGCATAATTAAATTATCGCGGCTGACATAATCTTCGCGAGTAAAACTGCTCGTTCTTTTGTATACGTGCTATTGATAACACACCTTGTGATGCTCACTCATCTATACGATACAACGTAGTTACACGACTGTCGTTGGTCCCAAAGCATTGCTGCAAACAGGATACGCTGAATAAAACACAGTAGAATATCTCGAATAGAATGAAATATATAAATTACAAGGTCTAACATCGTAGAAAATGCATATCGCGTGTCCTCTTTCAGGCTGGATACACGCCGTTGCACGTGGCGTCGCACTTTGGCCAAGCAGCTATGGTGCGATTTCTCCTGAGATCCGGTGCAGCCGTCGACAGCAGCACCAACGCCGGTTACACTCCTCTTCACCAGGCCGCGCAGCAAGGACACACCTTGGTCATCAATCTACTCTTGGAGAGTAAAGCTAAACCGAATGCCGTGACCAACGTGAGTGTCCTTGTCGTATCGCCAGCTCTTTTCCAAACGAAAATTCCGCGTCGAGATTCGTCAGCGAGATCGAACGTAATAATAACCAGGAAATGTCTTCACAGAACGGGCAGACCGCTTTGGACATCGCACAAAAGCTCGGCTACATAAGCGTCATTGAAACATTGAAGGTCGTCACAGAGACCATCATCACGACAACTCACACCGTCACCATCGAGGAGAAGTATCGAGTTCAAGCACCCGAGTCCATGCAGGAGACATTCATGAGCGACAGCGAGGACGAAGGTGGTGAGTACTCGTATTTAATCACGCGAACACATCTTCTTGCCTTCTTTTCTATTGCTGCTTACTATTGTCTATTTACTAAGCGACTTATCGATGAAGACTCGCGATATTGGAACGAAGGTAGAGATTGTTACGAGAGACCTTTAATCGGGCGATGTCGCCGCCGCCGTTGCTTCTGATATCGCGGCAGTTTTCGTGATTATTGAACAGCTTCTGTCGCATAGCGTAATTATGTTGTTGCCTTGCGTGATAAGTTGAAATGAGGTAGGAGCAGTACATGCGAGAAATTGAGAATTGATAGCAAAGAGTAATACATAGTAGAGCTTCCTCGCTTCAGCTGACAGTTGATCAATTAATATTTTTAGTCTCGACTTTCCTTTTTCTTCCAAGGAGGAACTACATTCCTCGTCGTAAAAGTATTACTTGTACGCCATTATTACCGCAACGCACGCAGCGTTATTGAATTAGGCTAGATCCCAGAGCGATGAGGCTCTCTCTCCCGGTAGAGACGCACAGAGAACTGCACGCCAAGAATTAATAAGCAGGGTGGGTAATGAGTCGTTGCATGGAAGTGAAAATTGCGAGGACATAATTGAAAAGTAGGACATAACAAGTGAGAGATACAATGTCAGCGCTCGTCCGTAGGACGTGGTGACGCAGAGCGCGCGAGGATTAGGTAGAAATATTCGATTAGCAGTAGGCTCTTGTGAGCGATGCAGTTTTCCGCGCATGACCGCGTACGATAATATGCATGATACCAACACCAGCCAGTCAGCATGTGGGAACCGAAAGCTGCTAAGGACTCCCCTCGATAGGAACTGTCCCTAGTATCCTCTCCCCGTCCACCCGATTACAGGCGATACGGAGAAAAGCGCGTGACGTAGCAGGGAGGAATAGAGCGAAACGCGAATTTACCACGAAGAGAAAGTGTACTTTATATGTTATATCGATGAGGTGTCTTAGGTCTTTTCAGTTTTAACCGTGAAATTTATGAGGAACGGACAAATCAAGATATGCTATCGATGGAACTATTATTTGCTTGATTGTTGCGTTTATGTTATCTTCATTTCGCAAGAGCATGCACTTTAGCCGATACTCACTGGGTTGTTGTCTACCGAGTTTCTCTCTCTCGAGCGAGACACGAATAGTCCCGACATCATTTGTACATACGGTACGTGACAGTGAATCGTATAAATTATACAAATTCGAGAAACTTCGTTGAAGAAGCTCTGTAAATTTCTGGCCAGATCTCACGGAATTCGGTGTCGCGATTGGACGGTGCTTAATATCGCACGATCTTCCATGAGACCGATCTAAATTGCAAGAGACTCGCGCGGCGTTCTCACGGAAGACACATGACGTTTTCGCACGACTCGTACGTTTGCCAAACTCGCGGATCGCGTTTACAATGCGGTCGTAATTACGTTTTAAAGTCGTAGCACTGGCCTGTGAATCGATCATGCTTCTATTTCCTCCGCGTAAACTCGTAGAAAATGAAAAGTTCTCTTGAACTCGCGTCAATAGAACCTCTTATTTTACACGAGTTTAACGAAGAAAATAAATACACAGTCGATTCGCAGACTAACGCTATGTAAACGTCACTACGACCGCATTGCAGACGATCTCTAAAGGTTCACTTACTATTTACAGCATGGCAATTTATTTCCCACAGTAGGGACGCTTAAATACTCCACTCCTACGTGAGGATTATCCATAGATGAGCTCGCACAAAATAGAAAAGGGGTAAAAGCTTGCATTATGTACACGCTAGTCGGAGACGAGCTGTGCAGTTCGCACGTCGGCTCGCGGCAGCGATTCTCCTCGTCTCGCGTGTGCGGTTTTGCTTGCCAAATAACTAGGAGAGAGAGCTAACATAACGCCCAAAAAGATACGATCTTATCTTTAGCGGGAATCCTCTTGTACATGTTCTCAAGAGGGCTTTCCTGAAAGCAAGAAGAAAATTTTCTACGCACAATATTCTTAAAGCTAGAGAAATTTCGTTTTTCATTTACAGTGCAAGTCTTGTCTAAGCAGATATTTCTTCTAGTAAGAGAAGCATTCCGCTTCAAACAAACATGTAACTCTTGATTCAAAAGAGTGGAAAGAAAGTTAGAATAATATCTAGTAGACTTCCGATTAATAGATTCACTTCATTAGAAGAAGAATACTCTTTCAAATATAGGATTGCATAGTACTTCGAAATCAAAGTGCTTTTCGTGGCCGTTGAACTATTTTCCTCTTGGCTTTAAAAGAATCCTCTTGAGGCTATGCGTAAGAGGGTTTTCCGTTAAGAATAAGATAATATCTTCTTGGGTACGTGAAGAAAGCACCTCCCGCGCATCTCCCGCTCTCGACGGTATTACCCCTGCGTGTAGGCGTCGGCAATTGTCGCACACTAAACAACCCAGTGATAGCGAAACTTAGACACAGTGTATATGGTGCGAAAACTAGCGTTTCTGATGAAACCATGACCTTACCTCGACGGCGTACTCGATGTAGGTGGTGATGAAATCGGCACCGCAGCCATGAATGTGTACGGGCAGCCTCCGCACGCGCAACACGTGTACCTTCCTTCTTACTACCAGGGCCAAATGACCTATACCCGTAAGTTGTCTGTAACTCTGTTTCTGTTCACTTTCTCTCTCTCTCTCTCTCTTTCTTTATATCTATATATATATATACATATATCTATCACGCGGGTGCCACCGTCCGCCCGCCCGCTCGCCGCGGAAATGAATATTATACAACGTACACCACGGCACTTTTGCGCAAACAGAAAGAAAGACGAAACTATCGCGGCTCAATCATGGAATAATCGTCATTCGCCGGCGTTGTCACTACCTTCTTGTGCGCGCATCATATGTGTCTCGACACGCGTGTGTCATATATCTAGAGATGAAAATGACCCAGTCTGACGATAATTTTGAAGAGCTGGTAAGATGGTAATTTAGAAAAAATTTGAAGTAAAAATATTTTAGTACAAAGTTTAAAAGGAGCGTACAGTCTTTAAGATAAGTAAGACACTTTATTTAACTCATATTTACTATAAAATATTTTGATACTGTATATTAATACATTACATATAGCGTATAATTAAAAAACTAGATACATAATTACTAGAGAAATCTAAAAAAAATTTTTAGTCTCTCTCTATATTTTTCATACTTCGAAAACAGTCTCGATTTACATTTTTTATATCATTTTACAGGATTACAGTATTTTCATTTATTATCTTGTCGTTTTAGCGACTGTGGTTTATAAATTGAAAATTTTTAGTGGTATTTTAAGAAGTAAAGGCTTTAATACTCTCGAAGAATTGCAAATAGTTACCTTTCTCTTACTTCATAGATCATGAGACGTTGATCATGACAGTTGATGAGAATATAAGAAGAATGTTGTTTTATCTTATGCGGGAAACACGAATATTTGTGCGTGTCGAAAAAATAACGAGTTTTTCCAAAATTACCAATAAATTACCATTTTACCGTACTTTGATCGTAAGTAATCGTCACTTTGAATCTGACGATAATTTTACATCTCTGGCCATATCACGCTCCGCTCATTTATGTACGCTTCGTGTGCAACATCTCGATCCGTTCGAGCTCTCTCGTTACATCGCGTATTATTGTTACTACACGCACGGACACACCCATCCTTCGCCCGCTATTTCTATCACATTTACTATTTCGTTCGCCTGCCCCCGCCATCCATCTCTCGTGCCATGAGTCTTTTATTTTCGATGACAGCAGCGCGATACCCGCCGGACATTGTGTCGGCCGACATGCCAAGTCTGCGCGACCGAGTTGTACTGCTTCTTCTTTTTTTTTTGTTCCATACTCTACGCAGGATTAAAAAAGCTCGCTTATAAGAGAACGCAGATCTGATTTGGAAAAAGAGACGCATTTTACCGTTCTGGGTGAAATGAGAGATTTATCTAGAAATTTTATAAATTTTTGTGTTAGCAAAAATGCGATTTGCGTTCCACACCGAGACGAGTTGGATATGCTAAATACTTAACGTGACATGCAAAATATCCAGGATTGAAAAATTACTTTTTAAAAATCATTCATTGTAAAGAATAACTCTTTATCGCTAATGAAAGGGTATAACGTGTCGCTGCAATTTTCATTAAACTTTTCATCAGGTTTTGGAAACCCTTCCTTTTACGATTTCCATTTCATGCAGATGCATTCTACATGTGCAATGTAACGATTATATTTTATATTTTACCCAAAAGATATGTAATTACGTCACCATCACCGTTATTGATAAAAAGAAACAACACCGTTATCGAGACGTTGCTAAGAAAAGGTAACAAGTAAACTTGTACTGTAACAACAGTACAAGTAAACTTGACCTTACTCCGGTCGTGAGGATATCCTACGTTGATGTGCAAACGCGCATAAACAAGTAGCGCTCGAGGAGAACGAGAAACAGATCGATCTTGTTCCGAAGTGCGGAATGCATGCTTCTGCTTCGTGCATCTTTCTGCTCGAGAAGCAAATGCGTGTGTGTGTGTGCACACGCGCGCGTTCCGCGTTCTGAATTCATCCGCCGCGCTGCAATATGCATCGTCTCGTTCAAGCAAATTGTGCAACCAAAAAATTTAATCTCGTCCTTAGCGGAATCCTCTTGTGTATGGCCTCTCAAGAGGATCTTTCTAAAAAACCAAAAGAAAGATATTCCAACATTCAAGAGAAAAGAACTCTAATATCAAAGTGCTATTTCCTGTAATTACATATTCAAAACTTTTTACCGAAAGAGTATTTCTCTTCTAGTGAGGAGAAATAATATCATGCATAAAACGTTTTCCTTTTGATTTTAAAGCTCCCCCGCATTGTCTATCTCTTTTTTATGACGTCAGAAGCGAGAAAATGCATGCTAAAAATTCTTGCGAAATACGTTAAATAAAAAATGTATATCCATAAAGTAACACTTGCAATCGATTAAACAAATTTGTAAGATATTCCGTGCACTCCCCTTTTGTTCTAACAATCAATAATTTATCGTAAATTAACGTGACATACAATTCATCTTCTTAACCTATTCTTCTTCTACCTATTTCTTCGCCTATTTCTATTCAGATTAATTTACAATAAATTATTGATTGTTAGGGGAGTGCACGGAATATTTTACAAATTTGTTTAATCGATTGCAAATGTTACTTTATGGATATATATTTTTATTTCAATATATTTCGCAAGAATTTTTAGCATACATTTTCTCGCTTCTGACGTCATTAAAAAAAGATAGACAATGCAAGGGGCCAGAAGAGCCTTAAAGGAATTCTATTGAGGCTCTGTGTACAGATTGTCTGATGATAGGTACAAAATAACTCTTATACATATAGATTAGATCAAACTGAACTCAAGTTCCTCTACCATTTTGTAAACAATCATGTAAAACTTGAAGTTATTAGTTAAAGAAGATTTGCGAATGACTGCGCGTGATCTGCTGTAGATTCAAAATTTGATATTTATTTTTGCCATAAAATTCTCTCCGTGAACGTTTCGCCATCTATGATCCGATATCTTGGATATGTACACTGAGAGAAATGGTTTGGTGAATGACGCTATACTCGTCTTATGAAAGTAATATGGTGAATTTATATGCGATATCTGGTTCACATATCCAATATTCTGATTATGATGCCTCGACGCATCTGGTAGTCAATACCGAGACATTTAGTTGTAGACATCTAGACAGTTTGGTAATTTTCTCTAGACCTGCGATACTATTGACGCGATAGTTAACTCGCTGCGACGTTTCCTTTTTCATCTATACTGATTTGTAAAGACGATGCTGTAAAAGAGTAAACGCTGAAACCGTCAAATATTTGGAAGAATTAAATTTCTTAAAATATGTCGACGAATTTAGTGTAGTAAATATATGAAGATTATATACAGTAAGTATATGAAAATTATATATAATATGGTTAGATTTTAGGTTAGGTAAGAAGTCTAACACTACTCCGTAACTATTCATAAGATTCACCAAATGAATTGTATGCTGTACCAGACGGTTAGGTAAATGTATTTAAGCATTACTGTAATGCTACTTAGACAATGCGCTCACCAGATAGTTTGGTATTATTGACTAAATACTTGTTATACGATTATTCACCATACTGTTTGGTAAATAGAATTTTGGTTAATATCATCAGACATTTCCCTCAGTGTAAGAAAGAACTCGACTAAGGATGAGATTGTGTTTCCTGGGTGTACATTCAACCTCGACATTTTTTCTCACTCCGACGCACTATTCGCGCACTCACGTGCGGAAACGCGAGCTCCTGGACATAGTCGCCGCGTTGGGGATTTTCCTTTCGCACTGAGAGAAAAATATATTTGCTTTCGGCGTCAACTATACTTTTTTGTGACTTTAACCAGAAAAATAATTAGAAGAACCATCTTGCTAATAACAGTTACTAAAATAAAGGTTTTTCTAATCATTTTTGTGGTTAAAATCAGAAAAGAGTATAGTTGACGCCAAAGGTAACTATATTTCTCTCTCAGTGTGTAGCTAGCTGGGGTGGATGAAAGGGTAAACAAGAGTCGCGCGGCGCGTTCTCGAAGGAGAGAAAGATTCGCGACTCTACGCGAGAGGACTTCACGTGTGGCGCGGCGGCTGCAACGAAATAGGGCGTGCTGCTACTGTTAATGCAATTTACATAATAACGAGCTGTACGATCATTACATCGAGTCGACTAGCGCGCGGGCCGCTTCGGCGCGCTCTGACGTTCTCTTCCTCCTCCTTCTCCTCCTCCTCCTCCTCGTCGTCGTCGTCGTCGTCGTCGTCGTCGTCGTCGTCGTCGTCGTCGTCGTCGTCCTCCTCCTCCTCCTCGTAATCGACGTCGTCGTCGTCGTCATCATCGTCATCATCACCGTCGTCGTCCTCGGCTTCGTGGTCGTAGTCGTAATCGACGTAGTCGTAGTTGTAGTCACACAAACACCGCCCTCCACTTCAGCTACCTGTTATGCAACACAGTCGGTGTGCGTGTCGTGCCGCGTTATTAGTGCAGTTAGTCCAACCCCTGCCGCTTGGCGTGCCGCCAAATACGATTCCGGACCGAAATAATCTCGAATTTATATAACGCTCGCGGGCGTCAAACATCGATTACAGAAGCGAAGAGAAAAGAACAGGAGACGCGGAGGCGGAGAAACAAAAGTAAAAAAGAAAATATAAAAAAAAAAACACATACAGAAACGGAGGAAGAGGGAAATACAGTGCGCAATTGCCACCCGCGCGCGCAAATCGACGCCTCCTGGTGCGGTTTCCGGCGTTCGCGACGAACTAAATCAACCGCGGATACTTCCAGCTGCGCATCTCTCGCGAATTCGCCAAGTGCCGAGAGGACATCGCCACAATTGTTTCCCCCCTCTCGCGCTAATGCTAATCGCCAGGCCGATTATGCAATGGTTCTGATCGAATTACGCGATTACGATGACCGAATCGACGATTCGATCGGGTCCTATAGTAAAACGGGCAGAACAGCGGGCGATAAAAGGTAACGGGCGATCCCGTGGATGCCGTCGTTATCTGGCCTTTCGCGTTTTTTCCAGCCAGGTCTGAACTTTGGCCTAATCGTGGCTCGCGCGGTTAAT